AAAAAAAAAAAAAAAAAAAAGTTTATACAGTAGTCTGTCTACTGACTTTTTCACGGCCACTTTCAACTTCCAGGTGTAGCCGGCAGCGCGTCACATGTGATCTTCGCCACGGACTACGAAAACTACGCGGGCATCTTCACCTGCCAGAAACTCGCGTTCGCCCACCGGCGCTCGGCCACGATCCTCTCTCGCACTCGCGACCTCGACAAGGCCTACATAGAAAAGGCCCGCGGGCGGCTCGCCAGCTTTGGGGTGGACCCTTACGACCTGAGCATCATACCCCAGACAAACTGCCCACGTGGGAACAACAGCCTCGACATCAACATCGATCCCCACACCTTCACCGCCGAGAACATAGGTGACGCTGTGCGCAAGGCTGGCGAGAAAATCGGTGACGGCGTCGAGTGGCTCGGCAACCAGGGCAGCAAGGCTTACCACTCGATCAAGGGTGACGACGACTCAAGCAAGAGCGACGAGGACAGGCGCAACGTCAGACCCAACGCCCCGACCAATCTGCCGGCTCTACCCAAATCGCCGGCCGGCAAGATTGAGAACAACGAGGTCGAGTGGATACCTTAAGCTCGACCACTTATATTATGTGCATCTATGTGTGTTGCTCTCTATATCTCACTACCTCCTTTTTTATGTAAATACATTTTAAGAACAAAATTGTTTTACTTCTTTTTTTTCTTTCTTTTTTTTTTTTTTTCTTGTGTGTTAAGTATACTATAGATGTTATTTTTTATTCTTTTGCGTTACTGTAAGACGATTTAATCTATTGGTTGTGCATATTGGCTTTTTGAAATCATTTTTTATTTTTTTTATTTTTTTGTAGCTTGAAAATGAAATTTACCGTCATTTGTTGTAGGCAAAAATGTTACTCGTGCAATTTTGTGCAACGAATAAATAAACAAAAATCGAACAGATTGTAGATCGTATGAGAAGGAAGTACGGTAACTTTTAGTTTTTTTTTTTTTTTTTTTTTCTAAATCGTGACGATATTTCTATCCCGAATGTTTTTCGTTTCGTTTCCAGGTGTACCAGTCGTAGGATGTTATATATTTTATTATTTGAAAAGTTCAAATACTCATGTAGATTGTAGGTGTGGCGTGACAGTCTTGAGATTGCGACGAGTGTCTTTCTACGTGAGAAAAACTGAAGTGCATTTCTAATCACATTCTGTAACTCAATTTTATGATTGTGTAATAAATTAGTAGATAATGTACTGCTTACAATTGTGTACCAAAAACAAAGAACAAAAATAAATTGCTAAGCGGCAATATGTGGCGTGCACTTTTATTTCTTATAATTCATCCTTACTTTCTAACGTATCGAGTATAATTCTCACATGTATGTTAAAATATCCTAATAGAATATAACGTTAAAAAAACTTATGAAAAATTTATTTCACGCTAAAAATCATTGTAGAAAAATATTTTTTACAAGTCTAAATAGCGTTATAAAAATTGTAAAATTTTTACATTTCATTCAATTACTAAAATTTTTTTTATCCACGTTAGTTCAAAAAATTTATTTATTTAACAAGATCTCAAAACATAATAAACTACACTTTGAAGAATAAAATGTTAGTAATTTAAAAAATAATTTCACTTGATAATGTAGAATTTCAGTGATAAATTTTTATTTGGTTTAAAGTAAATGTAGAGTTTTGTTTAGAGTGTAAGGTCTCTAACTTCGTGTACAACCAATATTATATAAAATATTAACATATAACTTTCAACAAAACTTTTAACTTTGAAACGATCCATTAAGATTTTTAATTTAACTTTTATTGTACAGAACAAATTATTGAAAAAAACTTTGTACTAAACGTCATTTGGTATAACACTTTGATCGTTTGCATTTTTTTAGACATGAATAAATTACATACTAACAGTGGATATTAGTCAGCTTAGATAAACGCTATCAAATAATACAACAAATACTGTAAATGAATTTCTTAGGCTTAATAGTTTAGTAACATTTTATACGGTTTTTGGTGTTTTGAAACAACATAAAAGTTTCTAGAAATTTATAATTTAAGTGGCTAGAAACTGGAGTTGTGATTTTAAAAATTACCAAAATCAGAGCGTTCTTTTTTTAACCACTTTTTTGAATTTTATTACAATATTTTTTGCACACGTAGAAAAACTTTTATACACAGAACTTTTAGACAGAAAATGCACAAGGTTAAGCAATTCGTCTATATTTTCAATGCAAAATATAAGAGTAAAGTAAAATAAAAAAAAATGTTTAGGCCTACGCTCTAGTACATTGAAAGGAAAAATGTACAAAATACAGGCTCACAAAACAACATGAAAAATGTATTAAAAATTATATTTGCCTTCTAAGTTCCCAAAATAACACGATTAGTATATTATAATAATTTCAAGTATTGTTTGTGTTTAGGCATGACTTTCTCTTACTGTCTAAAGTTCTCATAATCCACTTTCAAATGTTGGCTGACTAATTTGCTCAATGTATCATATAAGTATATGTACTTATTAGAAAATATTTATATCCCTTGCACTGCCAACGCTTAAATTTTCAATACTACAAAGGTCATAAATAACGACTCCTTTTTCTTCGTGTATTATTGACTTTTTCACTTTATACATTACTGTGACTTATTGTTGATGTGTAAATCTTGAGATAATAGGTTTTCTTCGAAAAAAGCAATAACAACTTCAACAAGATTTATTCACGTCTTCTGTGTAGCCTTGCATCAATAAATTAGCTCCTCTTATCACCAAAGACACTTAAGAAAATCAATGTGTAACAGATTTTGGTTTTTAAAAAACTTTTTTTTTTAAATAAAATAAAATAAAATTGAATGTATATTTGTTTCAAGCCATTGTACTCTGGTAACTTCATTAGTTTTTAAGTCTCGTAACCCTTAACTTCCATAACCCAAGGAACAAGTTTCGTTTATTTTGACGACAGCTATGTAAATATTTTTGCATAATTATCTCTTTAAATAATGTAACTGAAAATAGTTGTATAATTGTCCTTAAAATTGATAACAGTTTTAAAGTATTGTACACGCTTTTAGACATTCGTATTACATTTATGCGTATTACAATTATGCAATTTATAGGTACTGCATTCAAATTAAAAATATTATTTACCAATGATAAATGTAAATCTTTTTGTTTTATTTAATGTAATGTCGTGAGCAAAATATGTTGCATTAATAATTATTATGAAAGGAAATTAGCAACTCATCAAACTTAAACACAATTATTTAGCAAAAATGAAATAAAACTTAAAAATGTAAGGATCCATTATTTTACAACCCATTTTGTTGTTACAAGTATCGTTCAGTTATATTAATATCTCAAAAACTGCAAACACGAGAATTATCAATCATTAAACAAAAAGTTTTTTTAATTTTGTTCATAAGTCATGTAAATAGTTTTACTGATTACGATTCTCTACTAATTATTGTCATTTTTCATACTTTGTAAGTTTCATCGATGACATTAGTTTTTATGATATATAAAAGAGTTGTATAAAAATTATTTAAATCATTACTAATTACAACACCATCTCTATAAAAAGACAAGGTCTTTACCAAAACAATATTTTTGCTTGTCATATGTTTTATCAATTTGCAATATTAATTTTGAAAATATCAGCAGAGTTAGTCTTTGTACAAAACAAACACTCATTAATACTGCAGAAACTGTAAGAAAATCGTGAATCACGTATTAAGACTCATGTTGTGGTAAACGTTATCAGGAGAAAGAAAATTTAACTGAATAATGCGAAATACTGGACACTGAAATTTTAGAATAAACTGGTGTTGCGTGGGATTCTCGGTGCGGGAATTATGCTATCGTACGCAACACTGGCAAAAGTATTTTCAACAATAAAAAAAAAACATGCTTACCATCTAAATTTTTTTTATTTTAAAGTCTGCGATTTATCTCGCGTTGAATAATAGTGACCATCATACAATGTACATGCATTACATCGAACGAAAATTTGTTGACCTTCGTTATCAACTGAAAAATTAGATAAGGATGACCATCGTACTTTTCTCAGGACTCATTAGGGCGAAAAGTTCCAACAGTTGTTTTGAACTTGCATGGGTGACTGTAGTTGTTTTGTCTTGGAATTCATTATAACAAATAATTTTATCAGTTGTTGTGAACTTACAAGTGAAAGTTTCACGTACTTTAGTTACAGAAATCGTCAAAAGTGATGTTTAGTACAAAGCAAAAGAAAGTGGGGGTGCAGTATGTGACCATTAGTATAAAAACTCAAATGATTTACAGTGGATGCTACAGTCGACATTTTACGGTTGGGTCCGAAATACTACGGATTCTTTCCTTCGAATAGTTTTATTTTTTGTTCTCACAATTATTGTCATTGCTTCTACAACTTTTTAGTTTCCGTATACTTCGGATTGGCTCTGGCCACCTGAAATCAGAAAAAGTAAGTTTATTAAATTATCTTGCAAATTTTTTTTTTTTTTTGTTGTAAGAAGGTCAAAGAATAAAGTAATGAATTAACACCTTATGCTAATTTTTGTTGTGTCAATCGTAGATGAAATCGTTAACGCCAAGTCTCATTGTACTTTTGGGGTGCATGGCCTTTTCCGATGCCTCTGTAGTTCATTGGGGTGACTGTCCAAAAGTGAAGCAAATAGGTGACTTTCAGATGAGTCAGGTAATTAATTTTTTGTTCATTAATTGAAACTGTGAATTCCAATTTGATTCAGAGAGCAAATGAAATAAAGAATTTTTCTCAAATTATGCAATGTGGCAACCAAATGTGATCCTAAGAGCAAGAAGAGTTTTACTTTGTTGTCAAATAAAATCGTAGCACTAAAAATACAAAGCTTAAGAGAAAAAATTCTTCGAACAATCTGCCTGTTTCAATATGAATTAAAGTAATTGTTTCTAAAGTCTGACTTGTTTTTTACTCAACCATTGGTATAAAAAATATTCAAAAATATGTCATTTAAACAACATAAAAATCATTATTTCTTGTAGTTTCTCGGAAAGTGGTATTCTGTCCAGATGATGTGGCCAAAGATTCCTGTGAGGAAAAATTGTGTCACTTACAATTACAGTGTAACTCACACACCATCCAAATACAACATCATAGAAAGCGGCCACATACCGGTTATAGGTAAAATAATCTCTCACATAAAAATGATGATAATTTGTTTTATTTACTTAATGGGGTTTTGGTCGAAAATATTTTCACATATAACATGCTGTTGTTTCATGGTGCAATAGTTAAACAGTTTTTATTAATACAAAAATGTTAATGGTCGGGGCTTAAATTTCTTTTTTTTTTTTTTTACTGTTCTTTTATTATTTTTTTTATTTTTTACTTAACCGTTTTTCACTGAAATTTTATTGAGAACAGTTTTTTGGTTTTGTTACTGTTTTGGTGATGCTTCCCTTTTTTCCACTGATACTCATACAAACTTTTTATTGTTATCTCTACCCATGTTTTACGGGTATTTCGTATTACTTTTTACAGGGTATCGTTTCGTGGGTACTTTGAACACTGATTCCAGAGGTTCTAGAAATTCTAGCCACATGACGGAGCGCTTCCCTATTTGTAAGTAAAATTCCGTATTTTAACTGTTACGCACATTTATGTACATATACGTATCATGAAGTTCCTTATCCTCATGTAATAATTTTACTTGAAACTCTTTTTTGTATGTAAATAATTAAGTTAAATTTTGTCATTCGTCATTAANGACTATAAAAATGACAATACATCTAGCAATAGGGAAGATGACTATGAAAATGAAAGTACATCTAGCAATGGGGAAGATTCCTATGAAAATAAAAATACATCTAGCAATGGGGAAGATTCCTATGAAAATGAAAATACATCTAGCAATGGGGAAGATGACTATAAAAATGACAATACATCTAGCAATAGGGAAGATGACTATGAAAATGAAAGTACATCTAGCAATGGGGAAGATTCCTATGAAAATAAAAATACATCTAGCAATGGGGAAGATTCCTATGAAAATGAAAATACATCTAGCAATGGGGAAGATGACTATAAAAATGACAATACATCTAGCAATAGGGAAGATGACTATGAAAATGAAAGTACATCTAGCAATGGGGAAGATTCCTATGAAAATAAAAATACATCTAGCAATGGGGAAGATTCCTATGAAAATGAAAATACATCTAGCAATGGGGAAGATGACTATAAAAATGACAATACATCTAGCAATAGGGAAGATGACTATGAAAATGAAAGTACATCTAGCAATGGGGAAGATTCCTATGAAAATAAAAATACATCTAGCAATGGGGAAGATTCCTATGAAAATGAAAATACATCTAGCAATGGGGAAGATGACTATAAAAATGACAATACATCTAGCAATAGGGAAGATGACTATGAAAATGAAAGTACATCTAGCAATGGGGAAGATTCCTATGAAAATAAAAATACATCTAGCAATGGGGAAGATTCCTATGAAAATGAAAATACATCTAGCAATGGGGAAGATGACTATAAAAATGACAATACATCTAGCAATAGGGAAGATGACTATGAAAATGAAAGTACATCTAGCAATGGGGAAGATTCCTATGAAAATAAAAATACATCTAGCAATGGGGAAGATTCCTATGAAAATGAAAATACATCTAGCAATGGGGAAGATGACTATAAAAATGACAATACATCTAGCAATAGGGAAGATGACTATGAAAATGAAAGTACATCTAGCAATGGGGAAGATTCCTATGAAAATAAAAATACATCTAGCAATGGGGAAGATTCCTATGAAAATGAAAATACATCTAGCAATGGGGAAGATGACTATAAAAATGACAATACATCTAGCAATAGGGAAGATGACTATGAAAATGAAAGTACATCTAGCAATGGGGAAGATTCCTATGAAAATAAAAATACATCTAGCAATGGGGAAGATTCCTATGAAAATGAAAATACATCTAGCAATGGGGAAGATGACTATAAAAATGACAATACATCTAGCAATAGGGAAGATGACTATGAAAATGAAAGTACATCTAGCAATGGGGAAGATTCCTATGAAAATAAAAATACATCTAGCAATGGGGAAGATTCCTATGAAAATGAAAATACATCTAGCAATGGGGAAGATGACTATAAAAATGACAATACATCTAGCAATAGGGAAGATGACTATGAAAATGAAAGTACATCTAGCAATGGGGAAGATTCCTATGAAAATAAAAATACATCTAGCAATGGGGAAGATTCCTATGAAAATGAAAATACATCTAGCAATGGGGAAGATGACCATGAAAATGAAGATGAAAATGTATCCAGCAATTAAGAAGATAACGGTAAAGTAGAGAACAAATCTTCTTGATAACGCACATTTACTACCTCGAATAAAGTAAATGTCAATTCTACGTTTTACTTGTAATATAATTATTTTTTATTTTTTTGTGCTTTATGTAAGTCTGCGAAGTAATTACCACAGAATTACAGAAATAGAGTTAGTAATTTTTCGAAATAGTATCAATCCGTTTTTATTAAATCATCTGTATGATAACAATAATTTTAAATTGACTTTACATTAAGACAAGTATCATTGAGCTCATACTATTTCTTATCTTTAGCGAAGTTGAATGAGTTTTTTATTTATTTTTTATTTTAAAGGTATTATATCAGATGCAAATTATGTGTAAGTTCTCCTTTTAAATGTTTTTATGGATTTTAACTATGTTTGATGAGACAATATCGTTAAGATCATTACGTAGAATAAGTATAAATATATTAAATTACATGTCAACTTACCTTTATAATTGTATAATAAACTACAATAGCTTAATATCTCGAACAAAAACATAGTTAAATAATATATTAGCAAATATATGTTCAAGTGGTCAATAAATGTACATTTCTTCATATACCGGCTTTAAATTAATTTATTTTCACATTATTTTTATTGTCTTGACGATGAGCCATTATTTCTCAAAACCTTACGTGGCATCAATAATGACTGACTTATTTGAATCATTGTTGCGCTTTCTAAAGTCTTTCATAAAATAATCCTTAAGTAGTTTTTTTTTTTTTTTTTGTTTTTTTCCCTAAAACTAAAAACTGTGTATCCCAACAACTCAAAGACCCCTGGTAAAAAAAAAAAAAAAAAATTGGAAAAAAAATCGGTCGAAACTCTGCATCATCCAATTAAAACCCCTCGACAAAATTTTATTAATACAAAAATGTTAATGGGCGGGGCTTAAATTTCTTTTTTTTTTTTTTTACTGTTCTTTTATTATTTTTTTTATTTTTTACTTAACCGTTTTTCACTGAAATTTTATTGAGAACAGTTTTTTGGTTTTGTTACTGTTTTGGTGATGCTTCCCTTTTTTCCACTGATACTCATACAAACTTTTTATTGTTATCTCTACCCATGTTTTACGGGTATTTCGTATTACTTTTTACAGGGTATCGTTTCGTGGGTACTTTGAACANAAAAAAAAAAAAAAAAAAAAAAAAAAAAAAAAAAAAAAAAAAAAAAAAAAGTCTCGATAAATCGTAATACCTCGTATGTGCGTAAATGTAAATGTATATAATATGTACAGCGCGTTACATCGATCGGAAGGACGAGGCGCGTGACGCGGTAATTTATGCCTGCAGGTGCACAGGCACCGTTTACGTAAATAGTTATATATAGGTACATATGCCCAACACCATGCATACGGTGAATCCAACAGCGAGAGCGTGTATGGATAATATCGTTGGATGTGATGTACCTAGCGGCGGCAGCTGTCGTTTGCGTCCCATATACCTTTGGTGTGTAATTTATTATTTTCGTCGGCGCGTTCGTTTTCAAGTGTGCCACGGCGATGGTGATGACGATTGTTGGTCAGGTGCGCCGTGCTCGACGACAGAGGCGCCTCAACTCATGCATCTCGATCTCGAGGAGTCTTGTTCGCATGGCTGTGCGTTGGGACAATGTGTTTTTGTAATATATATATAGACGGTGTGTTTTTTCTCTCGCAGAAGAGGCAAACTTAGAACGAGGCAGAAATAAACTATTTATTCGGCTCGATCGGGCAGTAAATTTTAGATACACATCGCGAGACTCGTGAAATAACAATTTTATCGCTGGGCCCGATAGTTGTATGACAAATGATTATACCTAATAATAATAATTTTAATTTAATCTTAATACATACCAGTTTTTTTTTGCTTGGAAAATTGTTTTTTTTTTTTTTTTCTTTTTTTTTCAACCTTACAAGTACCTCGTGTGTGTTATTCGTGACATGCGTTTGACTCACGAGAGTAAATTATTTTTAATGGCTCTCGCGATGTACGCGGACACGAAATTCGTGAAGTGAACAACCTCGTTAAAAATAGCAATAGAGAATTTTTTAAGGAGAACCAAGAAACACATGGGCTGGAAGTGGAAATTGGGTGTCTTTTGTAAGATTCATCATCAGCCAAGACTAAGTCCTAAGTGACGAAATATCGATATCGCTGGTTGTTTAAATATATCCATGTATAAAAATTTTCAAAATTTTGACCTTTCGTAAAATAATCACAATTGTGAAGTAGTAGCGGAGAAAATAGAAATGATCAACTGTTACGAGATGGGCTCGATAAGCGTTTGGCGTAAATTATAATTATGCATAAGGAGTTTAAATATTTTATAACGGAACTCAACTTTTTTAGGCGTTTCTATGAGTAGTTTCGTTTGTTTGTGTGCTGTTGATGCATTTAAGTTTGCAGTGATTTGATAAATTTTGATTAACTTGTAATTGACAAGGCGAAAATGTATACTTTGCTAATAACAGAGTTGGTACTTATTGCTTTAAACGCAAGACCTCATTGCCTTGCCATATACACACACACACACACACACACTAAGAGGCACATCCAGATCCTTGAAATTCAAGGATTTATAATCGCTAATCGAATACACGCTCGTATACCTTAATAGCAGTGGCGCTAGTTAGTTACATACAACTTAATCGATGATCGTACTTTTTTTAGAATAATTTGCTATTAACTCGTTATTCTTCTCTCGAAACCGCAGCTTTCAAAACCTCAGGTATTTTTATCCCCTATGCGATTGTAATTTAAAAAAAAAAAAAATGTATTACACCACAAACGAGCTCATTAAATCTTTCAAAGGATCGCTTAAAAGATGGTGGCACGCATTTGTGTCTTGTAATTAACAGCCTTGAAATGCATTTATACATACACCATCGATCGTATCCACGGGTGTAATAACTATTACAATACCAGATTCGGAATATCGTTCAATTGGTGCAATTACTGCGATTGGAGGGAGCAATGAGCATATTTCAAGCGATTCTCCTTTCGTTTTGAAATTACTTTTGCACGATGATTATTAACCATTTCCTTTCATTGAGTTTTCGTTTTGTTTTGTTTTATAGTACTAGTGCGTGTGGCACAATGGCCTGTGAGATGCGCTTAACGAGGGAAAACGTTGCATGGACCCTTCTACAAATATCACGGCCTAAACGGCCATTGCAACTATTTTTGTAACTTGCATGTTATCTACGTACGATGGAGGGTGCAGTAACGTAATGAAAAATAGCTTTAATTAATTT